TATATATATATATTTTAACGAACAAGTAGCTCCTCCTGCTTTTCCTTTTTACATATCTTCTTATCCTCGGACCCAGAGTTTTATTACAGTTTGTCAAAGGAATGTTTTTTCCATCCTTAAAATGAGCTAGTGGCATAAAGGAAACTGAGCTTTTTAAAGGGCAGTTCATTTTCTGAAATTGGTCTGCCTCTCTAGACAGGGACACTTACACGTATTCAGGATAGGCTGAACGGCATCGTATCTTGATGTTTTAGTAACCAAAGACGTACATTCCCTCCCATACCTCTTTCGATGATAAGCACGCAAAAAAAGTAGAGGCTTGCCAGCAGCTGTGGTTGCGTAGTATACCTGGACAGTATCTAGCCATCTCAGCAGTCAAACTGAGGTGGTTGATAACTGCCAGTCTAGTGCATTTTCTGTAGTCCTTTCCTTCCCCTCACGTTGTTCTCTCTGCGACAAGGAGTAGCTAAGTAGCTGTACTAGATGTTGATAGTTTTTGATCTCTCTTGACATTAAATTATGAATTTAACATATTTAAAATGTGTTCCATTTATAGAGCTCCAAAAAGGGTTCTGGCTGTTTACAGACAAGTAACAGTGACATACCTAAAAATTACATTAAGACAAAACAAGAGGAGTTGTTAATTAGAAGGTAGGATAAGTAAGGAGAAGCGTTAAATTGACAGTAAATGCATTGTAATGTCTAAAATTAGAGATTACCTGCATCTTTGAAGGCTTTTGAATTTGCTCGTCTGTTGTTAATTTAAAAAAATTATTTCTTTTTTATGTTCTGGAAATCTTTCTCCCAGGCATGTGATGCATGGCAGAAAGAGGCTCAAGAAGCAAAAGAACGTGCTAACATCGCAGATGCGGACAAACAACTCGCTCTTCAGAAGAAGGAGGAAGTGGAAAATAAATTAAAAAAGCTGAAGGCACAATTAGCTGCTTGTCTATCTACTGCATTACCTTATATGAAAAACTATGGAGATATAGAAAAAATTTCCTTGCCAAAGCTTCGTTCCTTACAAAATCGGCTGCACTTAGATTTAGAAACAATAGATGAGGTGAGTTGCTTTATCTGCATAACTATTTTTGATTAACTGAAAGTGGCAGCTCAGTGGCATATTTATGCCAGGTTTCATTTTAAAGAGCAGCATTGCTCTCAGTGTTAATTAAGCCTTTCTTTTCTGGAATAGAGGATGGTTCAGATTTCTCAACCCAATGGATTCTTCTAAGTTTTTGATCAGCTATCAGAAAAAATTACAAGTGATTCACAAGAATTCTTGGGGTGATTAAGAAAAAGATTTAAAGCCAGCTTTTACCCCCAACGTTTTGGGCACTACCTAAATAAATAAAAATAGTTGCCCTAAATAAATGAAAATAGTTGCATGCTTTTCGCTTGTTTAAAAGGTAGGCGGTGAGGTTCCCTGCTAGGAGTTTGTGTAGGCAGAGAGGCCAGTACAGACGTGGAGCATAGAATTGTTGACATTAGAAGGGACCTCTGGAGATCATCCAGTCCAACACCTTGCTCAAAGCAGAGTCAACTCGAGCAGGTTGCTCAGGGCCTTGTCCCCGTAGTGTTTTGAGTATCTGCAAGGATGGAGAGTCCACCACCTCTGCGGTCAACCTTTTCCAGTGTTTGACCACCCTCACAGTAAGAAAAGTTTTTTTTCTTACATCCGTGTGTGGAATTTTCTGTATTTTAATTTGTGCCCATCACCTCTTCTTGCACTGGATACCACCGAGAACAGTCTGTCCCTATCTGTTTTACTCCCTCCCATCAGGTATTGATACACAGCGGTAAGATGCCATCCCTTTTCGAGGCGAAACAATCCCAGCTCTTTCTGCCTCTCCTCCTATGTCAGGTGCTTCAGTCCCTTAATTGCCTTGGTGAAATACAGCAATGTGTCACTTTCTCTCAAAGCCAGACTCGGTTTCTGCCAAAATTTAGGATGCTCTTTCGCTGCCAGGTTGAGGGCATTTCCAAGGGCTCTTGAGAAAAGCTGCTATCTTAGGCAGTGTCACACACAGCGTTCTGAGTTCTTCTCTTAGTCTGAACCGCGTCTTGCTCTTCAAAAACTAACACGGCTTTTAGATGCTTTTAAATTCTTCTTGTTCCTTAATAGGGTTGATAGGCTTATCGCATGGAGACGTTTAGTTGCAGTTGTAACATCCTCCTTGAAGTCTGTATCAGCAGCTTTATTCAAAGTATTGTACATTTGGGATGCTTCTATTTTGTTGTGTTGCGAACATCTCCCACGGCACGAGAAAATGTAACAGTGGTTTGAAATGGCAAAATGAGGGAGTATATGACAATGGAAAAGGCTTATTTCCTCTTCTTGTTTTGGTTTTCCTTGTTTGCATCACTCATCTCAATTATACAGGGAAACTTCAGTCCAGAGGTTCAATCCTAGGTATTTTCCTTTCTAAAAGCACCTATACTCCTCCAGCTGCTGTTTTAAAGGTTGTGTGTGCTCTGATCATATGACCCTCAATTCAGCTATCTGTCATATGAAAACACTGTCCTTTGTGTCGTTAAATTAGAAGTTTATTTGGGACAGCTAAGCGTAAAGCTGCTAGAACGCAACTGTGTACTTTGGAATCGTTTTTACTGAGTGCAATAATCTTTTTACAGGTGATATTTCAGCTTCAGTCAAAGAAGTGTATCGTATGTCAGGAAGGTGATCGTAGCATTATCCTGAATCCATGTCAACATTATGTACTTTGTGATCACTGTGCAGCTGCACAAGAAGAATGTCCCTGCTGCAAGAAAAAAAAAAATCTGTGGTAACATGCAGGCATAGTACTCATATCACATTCATGAATTAAATAATTTTATGGGTTTGTATTTTGTATAAGAATTATATCACTCATAATTAATCCATTTAATAGTGCTAGACTGATCTTCATTTTGATGTGAGAAACTTAATTGCTTTAAGATAGATAATAAGGCTTGCTCACCTTTACATATCAACTTCAGTCATTTGATGAGGTTCTATAGTCTTGAGGTTCTTGTTCTTTCACACACACCCCCCCGCCCCAATCCGTCGCAGCCTTTTCTGACTTCCACTGACATTCCTAGTGCACAAGCTACTTGGGTTCATTTGCACTGTAATCACTTTGTATAAATCTTACCATAAGGCCTGAGTGAAGTGTTTATACCTGTCATTTTCATTAACAGAAGATGGATACGTAGATACAGTAACTACACGCTCAACAGTACAAATGGTCCCTTTGCCATGTCTGTTGTCTGTAGAACACCAGAGCCAGTATTTTGGAATCGGTCTAACACTATGTTTACTTGGATGTTTGAAAAATTCTGATTAATGTAAGAGCACTTTTTAACTATTGTGTTTTGTTAGAAGATATGTTGTAAATTGCTTCAAGCTGCTTTCTAGGTCTTATGTTTATTTTTTAATATGCAATAATATGACATGTTATATGTGTACTGTGATTTTAAAATATTTCACATGGTTTTACTGTTAAATCACAATACGATTAAATAGAAAGGACAACTTACCTAGTTTTTTTACAATTTATACGTTAACTGCATACTGTAGTATTTATAAATGTACGAGCGGAGACAAAAACAGTGAGGCATATATGCTTTCATATTCAAAGACATGTTTTCAATTTTGTGAAACAGATCGGTTTTAGTAAACAACTGTGTATTTGCATATTTCCCTCAGTTTGGATGTTTGTAGTCTTAAAGTTTTTGTACATCTCCTAACCTGTGTGGTACTCATTGGGAGCAGATATGAGATAGATAGATATAGATAGAGATATATATATATAACCAAGTGCCTATGCCCAATATCCTATAAAATGGCAGAAGACATAAAAAAAGAATTTTGCAAATAATTTCTATTGCTTAATTTTGTATTGAACAATTTGACAATAACTAGAATGCGTCTCTTGCTTTTATAAATATTTAAAAATACACTTTTTTCAGTAATGAAGTAATGCATGTTTGAAAGGAACTACAAAATTATTTAAGTATGTAATCAGGCAACGGCACTTTGACAGAGTGATTCTTTTAAAAGGTGGTAATATCCTTACTTCATCCTGGTAGTTGGGAACATGCAATTCAGGAGGAGAAGTAGATTAATTACTGCATGTTAACACTGTATATTTTTACTTTTCTTACATGGAATAATTGCCTGCATTACTCCTTTTTCTGTTAAATTCAGGTGTGACACTAGTACAACTTAGATTGAAATGACCTACTACTGTGTTACATGATTTGTATCTCTGTATTACTGTATTCAGTACGAAAAGTGAATTCACACAGGCAGCAAAGAGTTAAAGTTCAGTCATGCTAAAACAAAGATGTATCCTGCAATTACTATTGTCAAAATAGAGCTTGTAGAACTGTGTCAGCATTAAATAAAGGGCCCAAGCCAGTAGTACTGAATTCACTATCTCCTTTGGGTTTTAGCATTCTTTTTGTACAAAGGCTTGAGTTAGCAAAAAAACATTACACATTTTCTGTGAGAACTAAATGTACAGACTTGTCACTGCTTTCTTAAGACATGTCAATCTGCAGGAACATTGGAGACCTTTTGGGAAGGGAGAAGTAGGATAAAATACTAAATACATTTCTACTTGCTTTCTGTTGCATAGTTCATTTAAAGACCAAAGTTGGGTTTAATAATATGATTTTGTTGTCTTTAACACAGTTTCTCTAAAATGTTTGTACTGGGAAAAGGATAAAATCGGACTGTATTTGCATTTTCAAACACAGTTTTCTGTCCTAAAATAAGATATTGCCATTTTAAAGGTGTAGCCAGCTTTAGAGTTTTTGAAAAAGGAACTTGGATCACCAAGTTTGGCTGTAGGTATTAGCGTATTTTTTGCATCTGTGCAGTCTGTGACAAAGACTGATTTTTGAACCTTAACAGTATTTTGGACTAAAGCAAACTTAGTTATGTAAGGGTTGGTTGTTGGTTTGTTTGTTTAAACAGTGAGCAAATCAAAGAATAGTATGTAATTATAGTTTGAAATTGTTACATATTTTTCAAACAAGCAGTTCTTTTGGACAGCAGTTTACTACATTTATCTAGTGTGGAACAGCATTCTGCAACCGTTGTCCTCACAAAAATGTTTAGAAATATCTTAGTGAAATTTTTTGCTTTGGTATTTTAGAAGAAACCAGCTTAGGCCACATTGTGGTGCCCATATGCAGCTATGTGACACTTGTTACCCACGAGATACAGAAGCGTGGTTTTGTGCTGTCTTGTCAAAGTTTATAGTTCTTCATGTGTATTTTAGTGCATTTGCCTATGTCCTAGGGCTATTTTTTGGTCCCTTTTTTATTTGGTAGTAACAGGTGATATTCCTAATCTCAATACACCAACAAAAAAGGAATATAAACAGCACTTGCAGTGTGAATCATCACACTGACATTCATAGTTTACATGCACCGCATTTTTAGAGGAAACGAACTAATATGTTTAGTCTATTGCTTTTTAAAGTTGTATATTTTGTGTTTTACAATGACGAATCTTGAAAATAATCATGTGTGTCCTATAGTAATACCAGTACTGAAAATTTTGCGGGTGTTCCCTGTAAGTTTCTTTGGTGCTGAATTACAGACACATTTAAAAACTATCAACAAACCATTTTGTGGTGAAAGAAAAAACAGGTACCAAAGAAACATACCTATGTGTGAAATTATCAGACTGGGCAGCTTGCTGTAACTATAGACAAATCCTGAAGTGATCACTTGAATCGTACAGCACCACGCATACCAGTCGTATGACGATAATACAGTTGTTCTTCACAAAATTCTTTTTGTGAGAAATGACAAGCAAAGTTTTCTGTATCTTATTAAAGCAAGTCAACTGCAAATACAAATAAATATGTACTTTTACACCAGTACTTTAAAATGGAGGATAATAAAATATATGCAGTTGATTAGAGACAACTATTTTGAAGAAGTCAGAAGTGAAACCTGACCTTTGTAAGTATTCGTCCTTGCACTATATACACTGTCTAGAAACTGGATACATTAAAATTGTATTTCAGTGAGACTACAGCACGGTAATTTTGCTGAATTCACAAAATACATAAAAACAAACTAAATAGATTTTCAAGATTCATTTTGGTATTTGACAAAGTTCTGTGTTAATTTATGTAAGAATATAATTTTTAATGTGAATGCCATTATGTTGTCACAATTATTTTAGCCTGGGGAACAATAGATTAAAATTGTGATTTCTCAGGGTTTTCACAGTTAGGAGCAGTAATTTAACCGGAAGTATGCTAATTACAGATAGATCCCGAGCTGCATGTTATAGGCTTATTATTAGTCGTCTTTGAATAGCAGATTATTAAAGACATACTTGTTTTGTTCTATATTGCCATTCAGAGTATCCTAGTATTAAATATAGGTAGTAATATTATTACTGTCACACTATGCTTGTGTAACTGTGGTCATCGTCAGACCCTAAATAAATATGGAATTTTTACTCATATTAATTTATGGAAGCCGTTAATGTTTTGAGTGTATAGACAGAAATGATTTTGTGAATGAAACTGTTCTTAATACAAATCATACTATTTATAATGTATACTCATTTACTTGTAGTGAACTGTTTAAAATTGTTAAGACTTGTTAAAACTTTTCTACACTATAGCATTTATGCAATGGTTTACAGAAGTCATGGAATTATTTTTATTACCAACATGGAAATAAAATTTTGATCTTTATTTCTGAGCTATACTGTGTTTAAAGATTCAAAAATTTACAGATATGTTTTCCTCCGCAATCTAATTGTGGCCTTCCTAATCATTTCAGGGTTTCAACCACTGGGATTGGTATTTACTGTTTCAGTGGAGAGAGGTCTAACTATGTTACAAAGAAACTGAATCAGCGGAACAGTCTAAAAGACAGAGGCTATCGAAGTATTTAAAACATAATCTCTTTTTCATTCCATTCTCTGTACTACATGTCCTAAGAACGTACAAAGCGTCCTGCTGGGCTGGAGCTATGGTCATAAGTCTATACCAGTATTCTGTCCCTAACAGTGGCAACAGGAGATGCTACTTAGGAGAGGCACGCTAAGTCTTGCCTCTTTCTGCAGTCCATGCCTCTCCTATCCTCCAGTGTTAGGGATGTTAGAAACTGCAGCCTATTTAGACTCACCTTCCACAAGATGGTAGCTTTGTACCTTCCCAACTCAAAACTTTGTCCTTCCTAAGGTACAAAGAGTGTGACAGCTGAAGATGTGCATTCACCAAGGTTTTCTGGAGATGTGAAACAGCAGCTTCTTGTCCTGTCATCGTCCACATCCCTCCTGGTAACGCCCAGGACTTCTTCAGACTGCTCCCCACCTAGCAGCCACTGCACATTTGGCAAGGCAAGTAAATTAATGTCGGTTACTAAAAAGTCTCAGCTTACATGCCTTCCTTGCATGAGAAATTCAATAATGAAGGTGAGGATAGAGCGGTGGGAACAATGCCGGCAAGGTGGAAGGGAGAGAAAGACACACACAGTAAAGCTGTAGAGATGCGTACCTTACGGTCTTCCACCTGCCTTCCCGTACGCTCCAGGGCCTTGCACTTGCCCTGCAGGAACCACCTTTTTCATTTAGGTGCACCACAGGGCCCCCCGTTTTGCTTTCTGATGTCTTTAAATTTGGAGGCTTACTGTGGCCCCTGTTTGCATTTTGGTGTGCCCCAGAACCCTCAATTCACATTTTGGGTTGCCCCCGAGCCCTCCATGTGCCTTCTGGTGAGCCTCCGCGCCCTGCGTTTGTCCTGCAGTGGGCCACAAAGTTCTCCATTCCGATTTCTCCCCTCTCCCACAGTTTTCCGGGTGCCTTTTGGTGTTCTTCATGATCAGCCGTTTTCCTTTCGGTTTGCCCCAGGAGGCTGATGGC